TATATAATGAGAATTAGGAACACTAAAGACAATGCTTAGAAAGAATGCCTGTAATGAGGATTTAAAAAGCAAGATACAAGTCATATGTACAGGCTGATCTCAACTCAGTGGGAAAGAAAAGGTAAGAAAATATGTAGGAAAAAAGACTGAAAAGAAATGTACCAAAAGGGTTAATAGCAGTTATTTCTGTCTGGGTGAGAAGATTACATTTTTTATATTCCTCTGTGTTGTCCACATTTTCTGCAAAGGGCATGCGTGATTTCTGCATTAGAATGCAGACAGTGAGTGTTTTGTAAGCGGGTGGGACTGGGGATGGAAAGGCACAAAGGAGGCTGTTTCAGGCAGGGGAGCAGCTTGAGCCCAGCAGGAAGCAGGATGAACGTGTCGTGTATCCCGGTCAGTGGGGAGATCAGTCATGAAGTGGAATCACTTGGGGAAACTGTGAGAAATAAAACTGAACGGGCACACAAGCAGCGGGTAATGAAGGCTTTTGAAAGACAGGCAGACAAGCCGGGGCTTGGCTGTGGAAGCAGTGGGCGGCCTCTGGAGATTCTTAATCAAAGAACACGCTGGGAGCAGCACTTCCAGGAGCTCAGCCCGCAGCTGTGTGCACGGTGGCCTGGGGTGGGGTGGGGACAGTCTGGCAGCCAGAACACCGCACAGGATGCTGCATCCTGGCTCAAGGGGAAGAGAGAGCTGGACTCGGTGCAGGAAAAGAAGGAAAGGGGTAAATCCAAAGGCGCACTGAAGGAAAACTAACAGTTCTTGGTGACTGATTGAATATGGAGGAGGAAGTCTCGAGAGGCAAGCGTCCATGATGACACCAAAGTTGGGTTTTTTTTAAGTGTAACATGGTTGGTTGTACGTATCTCTGGGNACGTCATTGTTTTTTGTCACACTTTACCTATTCCACCCTTCCCCCTCCCCTTCTCCCTTTCCCACCTCTGGGAACCTCAGAATGACACCAAAGTGATGACAATCACAAGGACAGTTGGGAAATGCAGCCAATTTAGGAGGGATTTGGAACATGATGAGTGAGACTTGTAAAACTATGGGACATTTTGACTCTGGCATTTTGGACCTAGGGGGCATTTTGACTTCAAGTATTTGACTCTATTTATGAATATAATTGTTTTATTCAAAATCTGTACTAACATTTAAAAACGTTTTTCAAGAAGGTATTTTCTGAAATCATCTCCATCCAGACATTATAATTCCTTGATCAATTTTCTCTGTGAGATCAATCAAATTGTTACCAATCTTTTATTTTTGATTAAAATTATTTTTATCAGAGTAAATTATTTTCATTTATATTTTATGATGGTCAATCCAAACCTGTTTTTGTCCATAACACATATTGTCAATGATAGATTCTGCCATCTTACAATTTCTGTCGCGTCCACTATTTCTATCCAGTTTCCCCAGGTCAAATTTTCTAGATCTAAACGTTGCCAAGAAGATTTTGTTTTTCTTTCTGTTCTTAGTGAATAATAAATGTCATGTGCCACCTTAGCTATTTTCAGTTTTATTTTGTCTTGGCCATTTCAGCCAGGAATTAGATAAAAGATGGACTAGATACACAGGATTGGGTGCATGGCAGGGGTCACATTGGAGCAAAGTGTCTTTGGGGTCACAAGATTTGCCTTCTTGGCTCCATCATTTTCTAGGCATTGAACCATGGCAGATATGGGTTTTATCCAAAGTCTAAGATCCAGTAAAACACTTCCTGGCCTCTGT